GGTAACACTGATTCAGCAATTCATACTCTGCATCTAAGTCCAGCTCACCCTTTCCCTATGTAGACTATATCTTTTGTTAGTTCCATCAAGCATACAAATGGTTTTGGAAATGCAGCTGATGTTAAAAAAAAAAAAAAAAAAAAAAGGCCTTAGCCTGCAATAATTTATTTGCCTGCCAGGAGGTTTTAGGGGCCTGTATACATTTGATTGAGAAGTGAGTCTTGGCTGGTGTAGCTCAGTGGATTGAGTGCCGGCCTGTGAACCAAAGGGTCACTGGTTTGATTCCCAATCTAGGGCAAACACTTGGGTTGCGGGCCAGGTCCCCAGTAGGGGGCGTGCAAGAGCCAACTGATTGGTGTTTATCTCACACATAGATGTTTCTCTCTGTCCCTTCCCCCTTTCTCTAAAAATGAATAAAATCTAAATCTCCACATTAAAAAAAAAGTGAGGCATAAGTTCTAGAATACAGTTATGCACTGCATGTTTCAGTCAATGACAGACTGCGTATATGACATGGAACCGTAAGATTGTAAAGGAATTGAAAAATTCCTATTGTGTAGTCACATCTAGCTTAAAACATTACTCATGTGTTTGTGGTGATGCTGGTGTAAACAAACCTACTATGCTGCCAGTCCTGTAAAAATATGTAGCATATACAATTTATATAATTCTTGATAATAATAAATGACTAGGTTACTGGCTTACACATTTACTATTTACCATTATTTTAGAGTGTACTCTACTTATAAAAACGTTTGCTATAAAACAATGTTGTTAGGCTGGGAGCAGCCTCATACACCTCATGTCTACCACGTCTTTTGATTGCATCATTTTTTCTTGGGCTTGACTTAATCTTGCATTGTTTTATAAATTTAGTGTAGCTAAGTGTAGTGTTTATAAAGTATAGTAGTGTAATGTCCTTCACATTCACTCACCACTCACTGATTCATCCAGAGCAACTTCCAGTCCTTCACGCTCCATTCATGCTAAGTGCCCCATACAGGTGTACCATTCTATATCTTTATTAAAAAGATTTATTTTTAAATAAAGGGGAAGGAAGGGAGAAACAGAAACATCGATTGGATGCCTCTCACATGCACCCAACTGGGGACTGAAGCTGCAACTCAGACGTATCCTGACCTTGCAGTACAACGCCCAACTGAGCCACACTGGTCAGGGCCATTCAATATCTTTTATGCCATAATTGTACTCTACCATGTGTTGCCTACACTATTCAGTTCCGTAATGTGCTGTCCAGGTTTGTAGTGTAGGAGCGGTACTCTGTACCATACAGCCTAGGTGTAGGCTGTACCACCTAGGCTTTGTGCAAGTGCGCTGTGACGTTCATGCAACAACGGAACTGCCTAACAACCCATTTCTCAGAATATATCCCCGTCATTCTGAGGTGCATGACTTTCTCACTGAACACCAAAATGATTCTTCTCTGAATGTGTATTATGACAGTTTTTTGGGGAAAAATATATGCACACAGTAAATTCAAATAGTATCTAGGGCAGGGATTTTTAAACTGGAGTTCATGGATAGAATTCAGATGTCTGAATGTAGGCAACGCATTGCAGAAGTATTAGCAGTACCTGTGACTTTGTCACCAATAGAAATCACAGACTTCATAGTTATTGCAGCTACCTTAAAATACTATTGATAGTCACAACTACAAAATCGTTTTTATTTTAAAAATATTTTTATATTTTTAGAGAGAAAGGGAAGGAGGGAGAAAGAGATGGAGAGAAACATCGATTGATTGCCTCTCTCATGCCCCCAACTGGGGAGCTGGCTCAACCCAGGCATGTGCCCTGACCTGGAATCGAACCAGGGCAATGCCCAGCCCATTGAGCCACACCAGTCAGGGCAAAATTACAGTGGTTTTTAAACCACTTAAAAACCACTTAATATAGTGGTTTAACAGATGTTATATATATGTGTAAACTTTCGATTATCTCAGTATAATTGGTGTCCTTTGTAATCTTACGTATTTTACTTTATTCATTTAAAACCATTCTGAGAAGGGATTCACAGGCTTGGGCATGAGGTAAAGTCTCTTACCTGCCCCTTCCCAGTTCTGGATTGCCATTTCCAGAGACAGTCTATGTATAAGCACCAGTATATGTTTTATGTTTTTACCCAAATGATAATATACTATATATAGTTTGCACCTTAGTTTGTAATTTTTACACAGTTGCATAGTATTCTATTGAATGGGTATACCATAATTTATCATCTATTGAGGGACATTCAGTTTTTTTCTAAATGATGCTGTAATGAATATCCTTGTACCTTTTATACATGTGATTACATCCATAGGATAAATGACAAAAAATGGAGTTGCTGGGTCAGAGTATATTTATAATTTTTACAAGTTTTTTAAAAATCCTTGCCCAGGGTTACATTTATTGCTTTTAGAGAGAAAGAGAGGAAGGGGGAGAGAGAGAAACATTGATGTGAGAGAGGGACATCGATCGGTTGCCTTCTGTTTGCCCTGAATGGGGATTGCACCTGCAACCTAGGTATGTGCCCTGAACAGGAATCAAACCCACACCACCTTTCTGTGCACAGGATGATGCTCCAACCAATCGAGCCACAATAGCCAGGGCTATAATTTTGATAGGTACTGCCAAAATCTTCTCCATAGAAGTTATAATAATATACATTTCCACTATTAATTAATGAAAAGCTGTTTTCCCATACCCTCACCAACAATGTTGAACATTTTGAACTTTGCCAATCTGACAGGTTAAAAATGGGATCTCATGTTGGTTTTAATTTGTAATTATTTTACTATGAATGAGCGTTTTTAAAAATGAGGTTTACTCTTTATGAACTGAATGAAAAAGATGCAGTTTCAAAGCAGAATTGAATGCATATGCCACATGTATAAATCCTTGTTTTTCACTTACCAACTTCTTCACAACCTTAGCTGCCAGTCAAAAGCTAACTTCCCAAAGGTTTGCTTGGTGTCAGAGGCCCATTCCTACCCCACTTTCTCACAAGCTAGCTGTAACTGTCATGCCACAGAAATTAGTTTGCTTTTTTTGGCACTCTGACTTACTTCCTTTGTGGGTGACATACACGCAAAAGGCATGCACTTAGTACCCTGGGTAGGCCAATTTCCTAAGCAAAGGACTCTAGCTTGGTAGTGTCTCCTGCATGTAAAGCTTTTCAGAATTTCCTTCAAGATTTTCAGAATTGATAGCCCTTATTTATAACTTTTTAAAAATATTTTATTTTTAGAGAGGGGGGAGGGAGAAAGAGAGGGAGAGAAACATTGATTGGTTGCCTCTTGCACATCCCCAACCAGGGCTGGTCCATGACTCAGGATGTGCCCTGACTGGGAATCAAACCAGTGACCTTTCAGTTTGCAAGCCAATGCTCAATCCACTGAGCCACACCAGCCAGGGCTGATAGCACTTACTTAGAGACATTATTTCAAATGTGGTTTTTAATGCAGTTTTATCTTATACCTACTATTGTGAACAGCTCTGTATCATACTGGTGTATCTGGATCCTGGGGGCAGCCTTTAGTCTTCTCAGTGGGAAAAATAAGGCATAACCTGCTGAGGTGCTCAGAAACTCTTCCAAAATGGGAAGACAGGTCTGGAGGTGAAGTTGCAACTGTGTGGCATAATGTGGGCATGTCAGATGAGTGTCAAGAATCACATAGTTGTGTTGGTAAAGTTTTATTTTATTTATTTATTTAAGTCCTCACCTGAGGATATGTGTATTGATTTTAAAGAGAGAGGAAGGGATGCCCTGGCTGGTGTGGCTCAGTGAACTGAGCGCTGGCCTGCGAACCAAAAGGTCGCCAGTTTGTTTCCCAGTCAGAACACATGCCTGGGCTGTGGGCTAGGTCCCTGGTTGGGGGAGCACAAGAGGGTAACTAATGTGCATGTTTCTCTCACACATTGATGTTTCTCTCCCTCTCTTCCCCTCTCTCTAAAAATAAATAAAAATAAAGAGACAGAAACATCAATTGGTTGTCTCCCATGCACACCATGACCAGGGATCAAACCCGCAACCTTTTGGTGTACAGAATGATATGCCAACTGAGCCATCCAGCCAGGGCCAAAGTTTTATTTTTTTATGCAGTACAGTATGCATAATATTCTTTACGCTTTTTGTATGTTATATAAATATGGAATTATAAATTTAAAAAATGTAGACACATGGAACATTAGTCCTAGAATGTCCGCTCATAACATAAAGTATACATTTGAAGATGAGGGAATGTTTTTATACTGACATTTCTCCCTTTAACCAACACTTGGTGAAAGACTGCTCAGTATAGTGCAAACAACCACCAGAAGAACTGAGTGCCATTTCCCCTCCAATACATGTTTATTTTAAAAACAAAGGAGTTAATGTTGAATGGCCATTTATGTGTCATGTACTACCAGCGGTGTCCAACCTGCGGCCCAGGATGTCTATGAATGCAGCCCAACACAAAATCATAAATTTACTTAAAACCTTTTTATTGCTCATCAGTTATCGTTAGCACATGTGTATTTAATGTGTGGCCCAAGACAAGTCTTATTCTTCCAGTGTTGCCCAGAGACACTAAAAGGTTGGATACTCCTGGAAGACAACGGAGCTAATAATAATTGTTCTGGCAGATCACAGTTGGCTAACTTATAAAACAAGTGTTGTCTAGGAACCTACTTTATAATTTTCATATGCTGATCTGTCTTTTTGATGCCCAATTCAATGTATGATTAGTGGGAGCTCATACTTGACTCCCCGTAAGGTACACTAACTTACGGATACACTGAGAATCAGATAAATTAGTTCTGAGGGGAAAGGATGACAGGTTAAAAGGAGTCTGCTTGACCCACTTTGAGAACCACCACCGACTGAATGCCTAGTGCAGTGTATAATAGCCTTTACCCACCCAGTTTTTCACTTCCAAACCCACAATGACAGAGTTCATAAAATACAAGGATTATTTAACACCTTTTACAGAAATAAGCAGAATATATAAAACACAATCTGTATTCTATGCAATTTTATTTTCTCCCTTCAACCATGATGATATGATATCCAAATTTTGTCTTAACTGGAGGGTCTGTAAACACAGGCTTGTCCAGCCCACTTACAGGCAAAGCAAATGCTGCTTCTTGAAATGGTCCCACCATGGACCCTCTGGTCATCCAACCCAAGTCGCCCTGAAAAACCCAAAAAATACGTGATGTCAAGTGGTTGTGAAGAGGGAACAGTTCTACTGTAGCTTGAATACTAAGGTTCCTAGGTTTATTCATCTGGGCTATAAAGAAGTAGGCCAGACAGGAAAGACAGACGGAAGTCCAACTCTGCACTGAACACACAAGCAGTTGCAATATTGCTGGGTATCTGTGAGCCGTGCAATTTTGGTCACGCCTAGGTTTAGACACAGGTGATCCATAGTCAACTGTTCACAAGTTGGACATTTCTGGTTTTAAGATCTTTAAACCAAGGTATGTCTAAAATTAATGGCAAAACATGGAAATAATCCCTACTGCTGGGGGACAGATCATTTCAAATGATAAGAGCAACATACCCCTTGCCTGGCTTTATCTTCACTATATTGTGTGGCCACTTCATTGAATCTCATTCCAGACTTTAACTTTTCCAAGGCTTCCATGATTTTCCCGTGTTTCTCACACAGAATGTGCCTGACCTATAAGGAAAAAAAAAATATGTTCACATAATACCTGGAGATCCAAACAATTCATTTCTTCACAATACAGCACTCATGTCTAGATTACCCTCACTAGTGAAAAATTACATTAGCTCATGGCAATGGAAAATCCCAGAAGTCTACCCAGTTGGGCAATGACCAGAAACCCATTTCGCCTATCAAGACAGTATCTTTGGCACCCCAATTTAGAAGGAAAATGGTCTCCTGGCTGTGGGTAGCTCCCATCTTAACCATGTACTTCAGTGGTAACAGGAAGAGGAAACATGACAATGGTTGAAATTTTGGGTCCTGGGGTCAAATCCCAACTCTGCTGTATGATCTCAGGCATGCTTTTAAATCTCTGCTTTCCCCATTTGTACACTGAGAAAATAACAGTACCTACGTATTCTCATAGGGTTTGAAGACTGAGATAATGCAGCTAGCATTCAATAAAAGCTGTCTATTATTTCATCACAGTGGGGATGATATGGAAAAAAACCTACTAGGAAATACTTTCTACCAAGAGGCCAAATGTATAAAGCCTCCCTACAATTCAGCGCTTTGAGAAAGTACCTTATTTTGAATATTAAGAACACTTAACCTCATAGAAGTATTCAATTATGATCTGTTTACAAAAAGTCATGTTTTAGGGAAAAAAAGCATATCCTTAAAAATGATTTTGTCAAGGTATCTGTTTTACTGAATTTTTCATTTCCTACTCAAATAGAACATGTTATTTGTTTCATATTGTAGGTGACACCGGGGTGGTGCTAAAGCTGTCTGCTTTATTTATTTAACTTTTTAAAAGATTTTCTTTATTTACTTTTAGAGAGAAGGGAAGGGAGGGAGAGAGGGAGAGAAACACCAATGTGTGGCTGCCTCTTGCATGTCCCCAAATGGGGACCTGGCCTGCAACCCAGGCTTATGCCCTGACTGGGAATCAAACCAGAGACTATTGGTTCGCAGGTTGGCGCTCAATCCACTGAGCCACATCAGCCAGGGCTAAAGCCGTCTGCTTTACAAATTTAAGAGACAAGCAAACCAAGGCTGTCCTCAGGGTTCAACTAATGAAACTGGGGGTGAGGGAATCCAAGACCCACAGGAGTAGCTTCCTGACTGGAGGAGCTACACAGGAGATACAAACACAGCAAAGGAAAGAATGTGTCAAAAAGCAGGGCTCAGAGAGGAAGTTTCTATAGAATGTGTCCAGCATTGTCCAGGAGAGACAGGGACAATGATCTGGACACTACAGAAGAGTCAAGTTGGGGCACAAGGACTGTTCATCAGACCTCAACTCGGTCTCGATAAAACAGCTTCTAGACGGCCTCCCCCTTTCTGCTTCCACATCCACAAAGCAACCTCTGGTTCAATTACTGGGAAAGGGCACACAACATTCATGGTCACAGAAAGGGGATACCATCTGCCACTTTATATTTGAATAAACAAATATTCTGGTTTGGACAGTGTGACAGGTTAGACATAATGAGTCTAGTACCTGTGGGGTTTGCAAGTGTGACTGACCAACTGGCAACTGTGTACGACTGGCACCTTAGAGGAGTGCCCAGCTGCAGAGAGAACTGGGGAGCAATCAGCTTGGAGGGAGTAGCTGATGCTACAGGAGGAGCTGATAAGGTTACCCAGGGAGGATACGTGGAATGAGATGAGGAAGCAAGTAGGGTAAAGACATCCTCAGAGAATGTCACCGTTTAAGCAGTAAGCAAAGAAAGCAGCTCAACAAGCACGATAAAAAGGAAGGGTCCAATGGGTGGGAAAGGAAGGTGTGTTAACAGAAGCCAAGGCAGGAGAAAGTTTCAAGGAGGAAATGGTCAACAGTATTAAATGCTGCAGAGTGATCAGGTAAGAAGTGCAATCAATTTAATAGTGATTAGTCAATGACCTTAGTCAAGCAGTTTCAGAAGAGTAGTGAGGTGCAGAAGCCAGACTGCAGCAGGCTGACTGAGGAAGGTAATTGCAAGTGGGAAAGCGAGGCATGTGGGGTTCTCCCCCAACTAACTGAATTAGAAAAGGAAAAAGGGCTTTGGTCAGAGGAAAAGGGTCACAGACATGTATATACAGGGTTCGGCAAAAGTAAGGCCTGCTAGAGTGTGGTTGGTAGGGTAATAATACAGGTGTAATTATTTATAGTTTGAGTTTGAACATGTCACCTAAAATGTCATGGTGTGCTTGAGTGTGATACTGTTATGTTATAGAATCACATGCTTATGATTTTGTTAAACAGATTTTGTAATAAAAAAGGGGCATTATTTGTGCTGGACCCTGCATTTTTAAAGATCCCTAGGCATATTTTTCAGAATGAAGGGAACGATGCAGCAAAGATGGAAAGATTGAAGACATAGCAAAAGAAGTGGGTGGAGATAAATGAAAGAGCAAGGTCTGGCATTCAGAGCACTGTCTGAGAAACCATCTAGGCTCAAAGGAAGAAAGGAGAGAGACGCAGGTGAAGATAATTTTGTTGGTAGGGAGCTGGAAAGCCAATGAGTTGTGGATTGTTTTCTTGTGAAAATTACAAGAATATTTAAAAGTTACTGAGTCCCTAATATTTGTTAGGCACTATGCTAAGTGCTTTACATGCATTATCTCATGAAATCCTCATACCAACTCTGTGAGACTGGATCAGTGTTTCTCAACCCTGCCATCCTATCAGAATCACCCCTAGAACTTCTAAAAAAACAATATCAAGGTCTAGGTCCCACCTCCCAGTGATTCTGAGGCCTCTTATCTGGGCTTGGAGCCTGTGCTAGGGATTGGTAGTTTTTGAAGCTCTCCAGGTCAATCTGATGCACACTAGGGGTGAGAAACACAGGACGAAGTGATTTGTTAACTGACTGGAGCAGGGTGGTGGATGGCTTGAGGTGAGCGGCAAAGGGCTGCTGAGCAGTACTGAGGGCCTCAGCTAAAGTTAGAGACCAGGAATTAGTGGCCCTAACCCCCACTCCCCACTGCGCAGGCTGTGTGACTCTGCAGTAGGGTCCAGCAGTTCTGGTTTTAAGTGCAAGAAGGCAGACCACTGGACTGACCCTGAGTTGTAGTTTGGCAGGCGGAGGCAGAGGATAACCAAAAGGAAAAAAAGGTTGGGGATCCTCAATCCAATGGTCAAGTCCTTCGATCTAATTCCCAGCTTACAGGACATACGAGGCTTGAAGAACAGACACGAGGCCTGGGAGAAGGTGGGGAAACAGGGCGGGCTGGAAGGCCTGGAGGTCTGTGTGTAGAGAGGAGGTCAGGACTGGGGGAGGCAGGAAGTGAAGGGGAAGGGGAATGCTCTGGTCAGCAGTGGGTTTCAGAGTCTGGACAGTCTAGTGATACAGGGCAGGGGTCGGCTCAGGAGTGGGGTCTAAAGCAGAACAGCAGGACATGGAAGGAGGTAGACCTTTCTAAAAGGCTGGAGGGTCCTGGGTCTCTCCCCTTATGGGGCCTTCACAAACACTGCTCACAACCCAGCTGTCCCTCAGCAGGTAAACAGTTAAACACACTATGGCACTTCCATTCCATGGAACACTACTCAGCAGTACAAAGAAGCAGACTATTGATACACACAGCAATGGAATAAAATCTGCAGAATTATGCTAAATGAGCCCTAGCTGGTGTGGCTCAGTGGACTGAGTGCCAGCCTGCGAACCAAAGGGTCGCCGGTTCGTAAGTGAGATTGGTTGATATTTTCCAATTTGTGTTATCTTGATTTTCTATCAGTGTTGGCCTGTTCCCTTAGAATGAGTTAAGCAAACTATCTTTTCCTTTTCTGTGTACCAAAATAACACATGTACATATGTTATTTACATTTAACATGGAAATAAAAAGAGGAACTAGTAGCTCACCTTTACTGCATTGCCACCACCTTTGGGACCCTGAGACTTCTTGTCAGAACTGTCACTCCCAGATGCTGCTCCCCCTTTAGAGAAGAGATGACACGTACTCATTTAAACAGCACCTTGATTACAGAAAGGTTCAACACAACAGGAGTTGATACTTGTCACAGCACCAAGCTTCAAAAGGGAATTCTGCCAACACTTGACTACATCAAGATAAGTTAATCTGTGACTCACCTCTTAAAACAGGAAATCTGTGCCCTACATACGTCCTTTACTGAAAAATACACAGGTGAGTGTACTAATGATTGGATGAGAGTCCCAGAAGCCAGGCCCAGATTCTCTGGACCCAGTTTGATATCCTGCCTTCTAAGTGAAAACCCCTGAGCTCCTGTAAAATTTCTAATTAAGCACTGCAACTATGTAGTTGACTACCCACAATTCCAGTATATAAAATCTCTAAGAATATATTTTAAATAAAGATCAAATTCCCTACCACCCATATTTAGCTAAAGAATACATTTATGTTCAAATTCCCAGAGGCTGCTACATTGCCTATTGATAGGTTCCTAAGAAAAGTTATCAGTATTCAGATTAACAAGCATTGGCGGAAACTTACGTTTTACTAGTATATCATTTTATTACAATGTCAACTTCTGTGCCAATGGCGGCATACTTACTGTTAAGAGACTGATTTTCCTTAGAACTATTGCTGGATTAAATGTTCAGTTCAATAAACATTTCCTAAGTACGTACTAGGTTCCAGTCACTGGGAATACAAAGATGAACAAGCCAAGGCACCTTTCTTCACAGGGCTCACTTGCTCTCAGATAATGTAAACAGATCATTTCAGGAGAATAATCTATGACCTATGGACAAGGGGCTATAGAAGCACAGATGGACATTTTAGCCAATCACGGAAGGCTTCCTAGATGTATAGGCACTGACCAGGTGAAGCAAGAACAAAAGTGAGGGGACACTCCAGGGTGGAAGAACAGGAAGGTATGTGTTGGAAACTGCATAAAGCCTAATCTGAGGTGGAAGATGAGCGCAGAGGACGTGGCTGAGGGTTAGGGCATGAGGACCTTTGGGCCCCATAAGGGAACTTCGAATTTATCCTAGAAGTAATAGGGAGCTATTGAAGATTTTTAATCAGGACACTCCGTCATACACGTAGCTCCAAAGACTAGCACAGTGCCTGGCACACAGTTGTTCAATAAATTTCAACTAAACTTGAAAACCCAAAATACTGTACTGACCACATGACGCTGAAGAACATATTAATGCCAAAGGAGTTTTATTACATCAAACTCTTTTTTTAAATTTATTTTTAGAGAGCGGGGAAGGGAGCGAGAAAGAGAGGGAGAGAAACGTGTGAGAGAAACATCAATCTGTTGCCTCTCACATGCCCTCAACTGGGGACCTGGCCCACAACCCAGCCATGTGCCCTGACTGGGAGTCAAAGCAGTGATCTTGTGGTTCACAGGTTGAGGCTCAATCCACTGAGCCACACCAGCCAGGGCTACATCAAACTCTTAAGTGGATTTACTGTATATTTATTGTTGAACAATGATGGCTTCCAGTTATCCCACCCTCTCCCCCATTAGATGCGGTCATCTTCTGACTGCCACCTCACTCCCTTTGATTGACTGAGGACTTTGGCATCAGCTTCAGGCTTCCTTTCCACTCTCACTCCTGCTGTCATTTTAGATGAGCTCACCATCTACACTGAGGGATCATCCAACAACCTAACTGCACACTTCTGGACCTCCTTCCCAAATGCCCATACTTTCTACTCCAGGCCACCTGCTCCCAGAGGCACACAATGAAACTGCTGCTCCAAACTAGTAGTTCAGTCTCTGGCCACAACTTCCTGTTCTTCCAGCTCTCTCATGCCCCATTCCCACAACACTGGCTCTTTGTCTTCACAGAAACCACCCCCACCTTCAGTCCCTTTATCCAGCTATGCTCCCCTACACTCTTGGAATTCTCCTTCCCTTCCCAGTCTGAACCTTATGCTTGATCATCTGAACCCGATCCCTTCCCACTAGCACCCTTAATTCCCTTGGGTTGCTACTATTCTAGTATCATTGTCCAACACAACCTGGACCTTGGCTCAAGGCTATACCTAACTCATTAAAAAAAAAAATTACTTATTTTTAGAGAGAGGGGAAGGGAGGAAGAGAGGGAAAGAAAACATCAATGTGTGGTCGCCTCTAGCACGCCCTCTACTGGGAACCTGGCCCGCAACCCAGGCATGTACCCTACACTCGGAATCAAACTGGCGACGCTTTGGTTCTCAGGCCCGCGTTCAACCCACTGAGCCACGCCAGCCAGGGCTATTTCTCACTCTTTTCAATCCCATACTGTGCCAGTTGCCCGGTATTAGGTAAATCATGACTGTGTAGAATGAGTCCCCTACAATTTCATGGCCTTCAATCTTAGGCGCTCGGACCTGAGGACAATCTTTTTTATTAGTGTTTCATCTCGCCTCACATCATCTTCAGCGACTATCCCAAATATTTACCAATCTCAAGACTCCTACTCAGTCCCTGTCCCTCAGTCTTAAAAATTACCCTTGCCTTCCACTCTACTAAGAACTTGAGGGCATGTCCTGACTGGTGTGGCTCATGGGTTGATCACCATCTCACAAACCCAAAGGTCGCCGGTTGGATTCCGGTCAGGGAACATACTTGGGTTGCAGGCCAGGTCCCCAGCTGGGGGCGTGTGAGAGCCAACTGATCGATGTTTCTCTCACACACTGATGCTTTTCTCTTTCCCCCTCCCTTCCTCTCTCTCTAAAAATAAATAAAATCTTTAAAAAAAAGAAATTGAGGCCATTAAGTACGATCTCCTACGAACTCCACCCCTTCCCCCTCTTGGGCCCCAATTTTTACAACCACACCCATGCCCATCTTTTTCCTTGTGGCCTCAAGCATCAGGTGTCCCTTCTCTTCAATGTTCAACTGCTCCACTTCTGTCCTGAACCCCGTTTTTTTCCTAAATCTCAGTCCTCTAGCTTTACCTCCCAAACTCTACTGGATCCTTCACATCAGCCTCACTCCCAAGTTTTCCCGAAACAAAACTTTCTCTAGTCCTTTGTCCTCTTCTACATACCGTCTAATTTCCACGTTTTTTAAATTAAAGCTTTCCAGAGAAGCCCACACTGATTGTCTCTAATCACTTCCTGGTCACTGACCACCCCCTACCTCTGTCCCGGTCCCCGGGGGTCGCCGGTCAGGTCCCTCCCCTCGCTTCTCAGCCGACCCCTGCCTCCCTGGTTGCTCTGGCCGCTCTACCTTTTCCCCCTTTTCCAGAACCGCTTTTTCCTTTGGGCGGCATCTGCGAAACTTGACGTTGAACTCTCGACTGTGTCTGTTGCCGTACAAAGCCCCTTCAAGCCCCCCCGGGCCTGTCCCAAACAAATGCCTGAAAGCAGCATTGCAACTGACCGTTTTTGCTGCGGCTCCGGAAGCAGGCATGTCTAGGGGCAGGCCCAGGCCTTTGGCTCTCGGACCAATAGGGCTGAAGATACCTGACCAATAAGAAGCTAGGGCTGGGGCGGGGCCAAAGGTAAAGCGAGGCAGGAAACCCGCCTTTGCGCTTTTTGTTTCTTTCACACACCCTTATTTGCGCCAGTTCTGCTCTTCCCCCGTTTCCCCGTTCCCCCGTTCCCCCGCTCTCCCAACCCCACACCCTTTACGCGTGCGTAGTGGAAGCCGCGGGCCTCTGCAGTCTCTCGGCGCCGGCTCTAGCCAATCCCGCGTGGCCTCCAGACAAAGGGAAAGCAGGAAGAGCCTCTGTGGCTGCCCCTCCTCCTGCCCCCTGCTACACACAATCCCGCGCTCCCTTGTGGTTTTTCATGTCTAAATTTTATTTTGCAGTTGTAGCTGATTGGGTTCAAAAGGTAGTTTTCTAAAAAGGCTGTCACCCTTGTGCCTCTTGCAGAACTGTGTCATGGAGAAAAATTGGAAGCAGTAGGACATTGCTTAAAAAAATGTTTCAATCACGGGAAAGGATATGCGCCATTTACAATAACGAGTGTAAAGCTGTCTGTATAGACACGGGAAATGGCCTTAAGGAAGATTACAGACCAAGCTATAGAATATTCCTTTTTTTAGAAAGTACATAGTGTACTATATAATATATGCATATGAAGGACAGGAAGGCTACCTAGCAAAATGTGACCAGCAGTGGTAGCACGGGTTTTTATGTATGTTTCTGTGCATTTTCCAAAATTACTATAACGGTGCAGTATAGTATCATAGTTAAAAGCATGGATCCTTGAGCCAGACACGTGGTTTCAAATCCCCGCTCCCCCATCTGGCTACTAGCTCTGTGACCCTGAAGTTACCTCAGTTGCTTTGGCTAAGTTTCATCATCTGTAAAATGGAGTTGATAATAGTGCCTACTTACAGGATGTTATAAGAATTAAGTAAGTTCATATGTATAAAGCACATAAAACAATGACTAGTTCATAGAGTAGTAGCTTAAGATAGTGAGTTTTGAATTTGTGCCCTCATACTTTCTCTCCTAACCCGCAATCCCTTCCCCCCAATTTATAAGGGCTTTTCCTTCACCCCACAAGATAGCTGTGGCCAACTCCCTCAGCCAGCCAGAACCTGTAGGTGGTCCAGCTCAGAGTTCAGTGTTTGGAGACAGCCTTAATGGGCTTGGGATGTTTTTTGCTCAGACCAGTGGGTCAGGTATTTTTGAGACCATGCCCACCTCCAACTCATACATAAGAAGCAGTCCCCTCATGTTGTGCTGCTGTGATTTCTGGACACAGCACATCTTGGGCACACCTTGTTTCAGATCGGGAGTGATCAACTTAGTTGATCAACTAAGATCTTGGGAACACACCAAGAGCAAAGGGATCATTGCTCCCCCACTTCTGAGGTGGATCCCACAGGAGCCATGTACTGACTTTCCAAGTCCAGCTGGGAGATGTAGGGTGGGCTTTAACAATGATAGTGTGGCCTGATGTTCATAGGCTCATCCACAACCAGGAAGCCCAGGGGGCGCCTTTACTTCTGGGTTTTCACAGGGAACAGCCTTTCCAGAGACGACTGGCTATGCAGTCTGGTGTGGGAGTGAAGCAGAGTTCAGATACCAGTGAAGGACCAGCGTTCAATGGCTGATATGCTTAGTGCAGGGAACATTGTGAGAACTTTGTGCGTTCCAGTAGATAACAGCAACAATAATAAGCAAGCCTGTGCAAGAGGCTGAATTTGCCCAAAACAGTGCCTAAAAGGCCAAAGCTCAAAGGAGAAAAGGATAGCCACAAGTCTGTGTGTGTGTGTGTGTGTGTGTGTGTGTGTGTGTGTGGCGGGGGTGGGGGCGGTTCAGGGTTAAAAGCGCTTTAGAGATGGATGCAAAATCATGTTCGATCTCAACTATGCAGTACATGTCATAAAAATATGGGGAGGGAAATATAAAATCTTGTGTTCTGGAATATGAATTTGTGGCTAATTTTCACCTTTTTTTCTGTTTCTATTCTGTTTATATCAACTGGCATTTTTTTTTTACTTTCAAGAAAAAGGGCAATAAACATTATTTGTAAAACAAACAACAAAAAAGCTAGCTTCTATACAGGTTTAAGTCTGAACCAGACTGTGGAGGCCAAATGTGGAGGAGTCTGTGGAGCACAGTGACGAATGAACAGAAGAACAGGCGGGGACCAGAGAGGAGAAAACTTCAGTCTTGAAACCATGGTAACGACTGCAGGAGTGTGCACAATGTGTCAGAGCCAGGAATGGCTGCCAGTTGTATTTTCTATTAATTATCTCTTCAGACTGATTCTTCCATGCATTTCTTAAACAAGGAAAAGCAGGAATGGAAGCTGGCAGCCCTCTCCCCAGGACAGAGGTTCACAAACCTTCACCCAGACTCACTGTTCCGTCCAATCTACTCCACAGCCAAAAGGCTTCAGTGTCTTTTCCATTTGAGATCCCAGCAGAGCTTATCCTGCAAAGGGAGCTTCAAGCAACAAAACTGCAATCTAGTCGATCCCATTCAGAGGTAGTCAATACATGGGGAACTCTGGGCCCCAGATTCTGGGGATGGGGTAGAAAAAGGCCATCTTTGGAAACTGAAACCAGGAAAAATCAGTACATAGTGGATAAGATTAGCCACATGCAAAAGTAGCCACCCGTTATGGCAAATGGATTCGGATATATTGCTGATTGGATAGATGTGTCTCCTGAGCCCAGTCAGCAGCTGAAGAACTTTCTGTCCTTCACGATGTTGTTACATGCCTGCCATGAGATAATAAAGCTTTGAACAACTGATTTTTAAGAAAGGGCTTCAGAGAAGATTCTTTCTATGTTTATCTAGCATTGTCTAAGCAAAAGAGCTGCAGTTTCTGAAGGACACTAATATTCCAGGATCTAGTGAGGTGGATTTTGTCGAAGGCAGTGTTCATTTGAGACAGTGGAAAACAACCAACACAGATGGCATATGTAGCATGAGCCTGGAGCTTTCCTTTCATGATCTCTTTTAGTTTTCACAAATCTTGTTGCAGAGAATCACCACTGCCATTTGAGAGCTGAAGAAACAAGCTCAGAGAGGTTAAGAAATGACTTTAAGGTTTCACAGCTAAGGATTGTGTCAGAGTTGGGTCTGACTTCCAAGCAGGTACCCTCTGCATGATGACATGCTTTGCCACCCCCTAAATTAAAACCAAGAACACCCAGTTCCCTTTTTTCTGAGCGCATGTTCCCCAAGTCAGCTTCCCGGGGATCTGAAGCCGCACAAGGGAACGCTCTTCCCAAGAGGCACCAAGGACAAGTTATGCAGCCACCATGGGACAGAGATAAATGCTCCTCTGGTTTATGCATCAGTGTATGTTGGTTCTGAGTGATCTGGAAGGTGATCACCTCTGCCTACTGTGCCAGACCTCCCAAACCCAGAAGCATTGAGGCAAGGAGAAGGAACGTGGCATGGGTGGGGGACAGTGGGCACAGCATTGTTACCAAGGCAGAGAGGGGACAGCAGGGAAGAGGCCTTCCATATCCTCACCTTCAGGAACTGGCCTCCATGTCCAGTGGCTTCTGCTTCTTAAACAGCTCTTCTTCCCTGCCCCTCAACATTTTATGGTGAACAATAAACACTTTACTAGGATTCACCAAACGTCTCTTGTGCTCACCCACCAAGTTCTTCTCTGCTGCCACAACCTTTTGCACATTCTCTGGACCATTGGAACAGCCTTCACATTGTTCTCTCATTCATCAGTCTCACCACCCTCCAAACTACCTTCCCCAGCATCTGACAAAGAGCTCTCAGAAACGCAGATTTGATGCTCACTTCCCCAATTAAGACCCTTCAGTAGTTAGGCAGCTTAGCCTGGAGGCCCTAAGGCTATTCTGCTGATATCTGCAGGTTCATCTCTTGTTAGTCCCCACTGGGCTCCAACCACGCTGTTACCATTTATAGGCCCTCAGACATACAGTGCTCTCTTCAGACTTCATGCCTTTGCATATGCTGTTCTCTCTACCTGAATACTCCTTCCCCATTTTTGATCTAGCTAAATCTTACTTTCATTTCAAGACCAAGCTCAGGAGCTTCTTTCTCCTGGAAGCCTTCTTCCCTGACCTTCTTCACCTTCTCTCAGGTTAGGCTAAATACCCCTCTGCACTCCCAAAGTGCCCTAGGCTTATCTCTAACATTTGTATGATTTTGAGTAGTGGCCCATGCCGTAGATGCACCGCAGTTTGTTTATTACTCATTGAAGAATATTTGGGTTGTTTCCAGTTTGGGCTACAACAAATACAGTGGCTATAAACATGTGTACAGGTTTTGGTGTGGATACAAGTTTTCATTTCTCTAGGATTATTTCCAAGAGTGTAATTGATGAGTTGTATAGTAAATTGCATGTTTAGTTTTATAAGAAACTGCCATACTCTTTCCAGAGTGGCTGTACCATTTCGCATTCCTATTAGCAATGTATGGGTAATTCAGTTTCCCCATCTAATCAACAGCACTTTGTGTTATCACAAATTTTTTTATTTTAGCCATTTAGATAGATGTGTACTGATATCTCATTGTGATTTTTAATTTGCATGTCTCTAATGGCTAATGATGTTGAACATCTTTTCATGTGTTAATTTGCTGTCTGTATATCCTCTTCGGTGAAATAAATGTTATGGCTTTTGCCCAGTTTCTTATTGCATTTTTTAAACTGTTGACTTTCAAAAGCTCTTTATATACTCTAGATATGACTACTTTGTCAGGTATGTGGTTTGCAAATATTTTCTCCCAGTCTCTAAGCTTGTCTTTGTATCCTCTTAAGAGGGCTTCTTTTTTTTTTTCCAGAGCAAAAGTCCTTAATATTTTTTGATCATGCTTATGGTGGCATAACTAAGAACTTTTTATCAAGTTCACCACCCCAAAGAT